TTCCGAGGCTTGCGTAGGGCCTCCAAGGGAGTCCCTGGACGCAAAAAGCGACCAACATGACATTGCACGAGTTAGCCTATCAAGCCTCGCTAGAACTTGAGCGCGCGCGAAGCGCGCGCGATGGTTCTAGTATATTATTTGTCCAAGTTCACCATGGGCAGGCGATCGTCTGGGCGGGAGGTCCGCCGACCAGCGGGTGTCATGCCGCCCGGAGCCAACCTATTGGCATTCTCTGACGAAGGCACTCGCAAATATTGTTCAGCCAGTGCGTGGGCGCTCGGAACCGTGACCGAAGCTGGATGCGAAATTATGGCGGTGGCCGGCGTCTTTCATGAGCCGCCCATGCATTCCTTCATGGCGGAGGCCGTCGCTCTGGAAGGCGCCCTGGACGAAATCCAGGCGAGGGCTGGCGAATGCCGGTTATCTGATAAGTGGCGAGTGCACCGTTTCAATTAGGAGGCGTCGCCTTCCAGAACCATTAGGGTTCAAGTTTCACCCTCTTCCTCCTTCCTCCTCCATGTCGCGCGCGTCTTATTGTTGCCAGTTCTCTCATCATTGCTCAGGCTGCACGCTGTCTTTGGGTAGCACGTACCACAGGCATATTGCATCAGGGCTAGCTTTGTGAAGCTTTGTCCGCCACGCGAAACGAAACGAAACGAATGGGGAGGAGGATGAGGATGATGAAAACGAGGAGGACAGGGAGAAGGATGAGGGGGCGAATGAAGAGGAAGAGGGTACAAGAGGAGGCGTAAGGTATGATGACAGGGGGGGCGAGCATACATTTTTGTGTATATCTATACACACCTATACGACCACCTTTCGGGTGATAAGGAGGTGAGGGGGGGGGAGGGACCAACGTCGCACCCGATCGATCTCACTATCGAACTCACTACCGATCTCACAATCGATCTCAACCGATCGATCTCACAATCGGTGGGACTATCGATGTCACTATCGATCGCACAATCGATCTCACATTCGGTCTCGCTATTGATCTCACAATCGATGCCACAATCGATCTCACAATCGATCTCACATTCGATCTGACTATCGATCTCACTATAAAACTCACTATCGATTTCATTATCGATCTCACATTCGGTCTCACTATCGATCTCACTATCGGTATCACTAACGATTTCACAATCGAGCTCGCATTCGATGTCACTATCGATCTCACTATCGAACGCACTTTCGATATCATTATCGATCTCACATTCGGCCTCACAATCGATCTGACAATCGATATCAAAACCGATCTCACAATCGATCTCACATTCGGTCTCATCACCGATTTCACTATCGAACTCACTATCGATCTCATTATCGATCTCAATCGATCGATCTCACAATCGATCTGACTTTCGATTTCACAATCGATCTAACAATATATCCCACTATCGATCTCACATTCGGTCTCACTATTTGTCTCACCGTCGATATCACCATCGATATCACAAACGATCTCCCATTCTGTCTCACAATCGATCTCACTACCAATACCACTATCGATCTCAGTATCGATATCACAACCGATCTCACAATCGATCTGACATTCGGTTTCACGTTCGATCTCACAACCGATATCACTATCGATATCACGATCGATCTCACATTCGACCCCACTATCGATCTCACAATCGATCCGCATCACCATCAACAGCATCATCGGGACACCAACACCATCATCATCATCATCATCATCATCATCATCATCATCAGCACCATCATCATCATCATCATCATCATCATCATCAACATCGTCATCATCGGGACACCGACGGGGCACCGACGGGACACGGGTGGGACACCGCGGGGCCTTGGCCGCCCGGAAGGGAATCATTTCGTCCGGCCGCGCCTCAGCCACACGGGACACCAGCGGGACACCGGCGGGACACCGCGGGGCCCCGGCCGCCCGGAAGGGAGACATTTGGTCCGGCCGCGCCTCAGCCACACGGGACACCAGCGGGACACCGGCGGGACACCGCGGGGCCCCGGCCGCCCGGAAGGGAACATTTGGTCCGGCCGCGCCTCAGCCACAGGAGACTTTCTCTCGCCCGCCCACGCAGCTTCGCCTCGCCCGCACGGCACGCACGAACACGAAACCGAAATCGATTTCCCGGTAGGGGGGCTCTCCGTTCCGCTTCGATCTCACCCCCTCACCTCCGACATGGCCTGCGTGGCCTGACCTTACGCGGTGTTCACGCGCCCGTTGCGTAGGTACTTAGGGAGGAACGCGTTTCAGGGACGATCTGGCCCGATTTCCCTTTTTTTTATGGGAAGAGCGTGTTCCCCGATTTCCCTTTTTTTAGGGAAGGGCGGCAAACCGGGGGGGTCACTACCGGTTCGAACTCCTCCCCCCCCCACTCCGGAAAACAGGGGGGGTCACTACCGGTTCGAACCCCTCCCCCCCCCAGCTCATCATGAAAAGGGGGGGGGGGTCACTACCGGTTCGAACCCCTCCCACCCCCCCTCGAATTCGAAAACCGGGGGGGGTCACTACCGGTTCGAACCCCCCCCCCCGCCTCAAAAACCGAGGGGGGGTGCGGACAGTGGTGGGGACTGTGGTGGTGGGGACAGTGGTGAGGGGACAGCGGGACAGTGCTGGGGACAGTGGGACAGTGGTGGGGACGGTTGGTGGGGACAATGGTGAGGACAATGGTGGGAACAGTGGGGACAGTGGGACAGTGGTGGGACGGTGGTGGTGGGGACAGTGGTGTGGGGACACTGGGAATGTGGTGGAGACAGTATGACAGTGGAGGGTACAGTGGTGGTGGGGGACAGTGGTGAAGGCGGTGGCGAGGACGGCGGTGGGACAATGGGACAGAGGTACAGTGGGGACAGTGGTGAGGACAGTGGGGACAGTGGTGGGAACAGTGGGACAGCTCAGTGGTTCGAACCCGTAGTGACCCCCTCCTCTGGTTTTCGAGGGGGGGGGGGGCTCGAACCGGTCGTGACCCCCCCCGGCTTTCGAGTTCGAGGGGGGGGGGGGTTAGGGGAGGGGGGGTTTTGCCGGGGGAAGGGGGGGGGGTCCAGCACGGGGGGGGGATTTTCGGAGGGGGGGGGGACCCGGGTTCTGGAGGAAAAAGGGCGGCAATTTTCCACAGTAAAGCGGCGGTGGATCACGCTCTCTCAGATGCAAGGGCAACGGTGATGTTCATCTGCCGGCACCTTCTAGGGACGAAGTGCAGTTCCCAAGTTGAACCCATTCACTTCGTTCCAAGTGCACTGCTGTGAGTGGGGTGGGTCACATCGTGGCCCCACTGCCCCCCCCCCCTCCTGGGCCCCCATGGCGGGTTGGGCCACATCGTGGTCCCTGCTAGGGTCGCATCGCGATCCCCTTGGGCCTTTTTGGCTGTTAGGTCGCATCGCGATCCTATGGTGTGCCCTTTTGGCTGTGGGGTCACAAGGTGATCCCCCTTGTGCCGCGTGGGCCGGGTCCCTGGGTCACCACCCCATGGATGCGGGGCGCTTTGTTCGGGGACCAGGATCGAACAAACAACATGGAGGATATCGGCCGTCCAATTTTGTGTTCCAAGATTCACCAACATGTCTGGTCCCTGAGGCGCGATCCGTGTGAGGGTCGGTTGGTTGGCTGGTTGGCTGGTTTGTTGGCTGGTTGGCTGGCTGGTTGGTTGACTGGTTTGTTGGTTGGCTCGTTGGTTGGTTGGTTGACTGGTTGGCCGGCTGGTTGGCTGGCTGGCTAGTTGGTCGGCTGGTTGGTTGGTTGGGTGGTTGGTTGCCCAGTTGGTTGGTTTGTTGGCTGGTTGGTTGGTTGGTTGGTTGGTTTGTTGATTCGTTGGTTGGAGGCTTTCGGCTTGTTGCGGTGTTGATTGGTTGGTTGGTTAGCTAGTTGGTGGGTTGGTTGGTCGGTTTGTTGGTTGGTTGGTCGGCTGGTTGGTTGGATGGCCGGTTGGTTGGTTCGATGGTTTGTTGGTCGGTTGGTCGCTTGGTCGCTTGGCTGGTTGGTTGGTTGGTTGGTCAGTTCGTTGATCGGCTGGTTGATCGGCTGGTTGGTCGGCTGGCTTTTCGATCGGTTGGTTCGTTGGAAGGCTGATTGGTCGGTTGGTTGGTGGCTTGGTTGGATGACCGGGTGGCTAGTTGCCCGCTTTTCCAAGTGGTTGCTTGGACGGTTGGAGTTTATCGCCACTTCCCCGCCCCTCCTCCCTCTTCTTCTCTCGTCACTCCTCCTTCCTCCCCTCCTCTCTACCTTCCTCCCTTCTCCGCCCTCCGTCCTCCTCCCGCTCCCCCGCAATTTGCTGCAATGCAACGTATTGCAAATACACTTCAAAGCAACGCAGCGCGATACAATGCAACGCAACACCAACGCACTGATGCACTGCAACGTAACACCAC